TAAGCTGAATTGTACAGTAATTGTCCTTTTGTGTCTGGCTTATTTCACTCAGTATAATGTCTGCCAGATTTATCCATGCTGTAGCATATCAGAATTTCCTTCCTTTTTAGGGCCGAACAATATTTTATTGTATGTGTATACCATATTTGTTCATTATTTCATCTGTCAATGATCATTTCTAATAGTTTGTTAATCTTATTAATTACTATTTTATCATTACTCCATTATTCTAGTTGACACAGAAGTTTCTTAATTCCCTAATTTGTCTCTGTCTTAAATGTCCTTCCCATCTTTCTCATGCACCTTATCAAGTTACCTAAATTTCTAATAATTGCTCTATCCTTTATGTCTCAATGACCTAGGCCCAACCATTTTTACCTCATCTCACTACTTTTATTAGTAGTCCTAACAGTCATCCTACTTATCAGATCAAGAAACATTTGTTGGATGAGTTCTGTGTTTGGAGCACAGAATAAAACAGAAAGTCAGGAAAGGCTCCAATGGACAAGTTCACCCTCATGAGCTGGAGAATTATTTCAGAACTCTTCACCTCTGCCTCTCCTATACCCTCATTATGACTGTGCCACCCCACCACCTGTTTTCTGGTCTGTTCTTCATGCCCCACTATGTGAGCCTTGTCTCCCAGTGAAAGTGGGAGTCCTATCCCATTGGTTTCTAGATCACATGTGGTTATAAGCTCAAGTCCTGGAGTTAGATGGCCTGTCCTCAGCCCCCATCTCTGATACACACTAGCTTGTACTCTAGGATAAATTTACATTCACGTAACTCTTATATAGTATATTGTTACATTTGTTCTATTTTACTATTATTGTTGCTAGTCTCTTACAGTGCCTAATTTATAAATTAAACTTTACCATAAGTATATATGTATAGGAAAAATATAGGGTTTAGTACTATCCTAGGTTTCAAACACCTACTTTGAATCTTGGAAAATATCCTGCATGGGTGAGGGGGGACTACTGTGTTACTCCATTTACCTTTTTGTAATTATCCTTAACCATAAATTTTAGCTTATTTTTTAAGTTTCTATTCTCTCTAAAATATCTTCAAATGTGCTTGGCACAAGGAGTGTACTGGTAAGAGAGAGGCCTTGGCTCTGCTTTTCTGGAGCTCGTAGTGTGACATTCCTGCTCCATTCCAGAGCTCCGTGGTGATGGCTTCCTGCATTACTCTTCCTCCCTCCCTTCTCTCTTTTTATTACCTTGCTTTCTTCTTTCCTGCCTTTCTTCCAACAAATGTACATCAGGTGCCTACCCTGTGCTGCATGCTGGAGACCCTGCAAATGCTGGGGACCCTGAAACAGCCAGAACAGTCACTCGTTCATTGAGCGGACTAACTAATGAAGAAGACAAATAACAAATGTGTAAGTGAATAAATAATATGACTCGAAAGAGCGATAGATACTCTGGGAAAATCAAGAAGTATGCCAGGAGTTGCGTATGCTGCTTGATGTAGTTCTGTCAGGGACATCCCCTCTGAAGGGACTTAGAGGACAAGTGACATGATTAAGTTGGCAAGTGGCATGATCCAGTGTATATGAGATGAAGGAGGAAGACCAGGTGGGCTGCCACTGCATAACAGGCATAGAATGTGTTCACTAAACACCTACCAAGCAGAGTATTTGCTGGTACTAACTGTAATAATGTAACTAATTGAGCACCCACCTCTGGCTTATGGCTTTTAATTTTTAAAAATCAAATAAGAATTGAGTAGATACCGTGTTGTCTGAATCAGATCCTTAAAATCTTAATCCTCTGTTAATTAGAAGAGTGAATTTATTAAATTTTTAAATTCAAAAAGGAAATAATTTGGGTGGCAGTGGTAGCAATAAAAAATACATTTAAAAACTGTAAAACATATTTCCCACAAGAGATTTTACATAACAGAAGAGACAGATTCAGTCCTTTCATCTCTTTCTGATACGTGTTGATGTAATTTTAAATAATTCATGGGGTGAGTTTTTATTGTTTCTTAAAGACAATTGTTTTCATATTTCAAACATTTTTCTATTAAAAATTTAAATTGTAATTTTTTCTATTTTAGAAGAACCAAGAGCCAGTAAGTGTATATTCAATATAAGAAATCATAAGAGGGTTGACTGAGGGACAAAATGTTGTGACAGAAATATTTTTTGAATTAATTTCTTAGATCTATTCAATTATGTTGGCCAATTATCTCCTGTGAAATTATTTCAGCCATTTGTAGGTTATTAATCTTAATCCTTTACTCATCTTCTATTTCCTAAATGCATGTCAAAAAGGAAAAAGGAATCATTGATTAGCCCAACTAAACATCAAAGGAATAATCTTTCCCATAAATCAACCCCTCCAGTCTTTAATTGCTTTGTGATTTCTCCCAAACTTCCCCATTTATCTGTTGAAGTAACTATTTCTAAAGCCTTAGGTTTTTTGCCAGAAATTCTTTCTTGTTTTTTTGGGTACAAGTTATTGTCCAACTAGTGATGACTGGAAAATCAAACATGGTGAACAGCACAGAGAATATCAAATTTGAGAAATTTAGTCACATTTCTTCTTGGGCATCAAACTGACCAAAACCCAAGACTCTCAGTTCCTCACTTCTTTAGAAAGTGCGTTCATGTCCTAATTATCAGAAAGGTTTGCCTTTGTTTTCTTCTCTTTTAGAAATGGAATTAATTTGACAATCACCTCCTTCTTTCTAGACCTGAGTTATTGATTTCTGCTTCATTTTCTGGCCCCTCTTCTAAGTTCTGAAGACACTACCAAAGGGGAATATTGATCAGCAGGCTGCCTGTCGCTTCCTTGGGCACAAAGAAACAAGCCCTATCACCTCCATACCCCAGAATAGAACTAAAGGTAAAGGGTCAGAGATGAAAGGCTTCTGATTAGTTCTTTTAATCAGCCTCCAAGCAAGCTCTGAGCCTTTGTTTACACCTGTCCTTGGAGTTTAAGATGGAAAACTTTTACTCCCAGGCCCCTGCATGGATGTAGGTGAAGCAGAACCCTTATCTTTTTCAGTTCTTATTGGGAGAGATGGATTGTTTGTTGTGAAGGCAGTTTGCCTCTTCAGGTGAAAAGCTTATGTTTCCTGGGCCTTTTATTTGCTGTCTACGCTGCCAGGACTTCATCAGTTATAGGGATCTCAATGCTTTTAGGCATTGACTAAAGAACATGGAAATTAATTTCCTTTGAGAAGAAGAGTATGCAGACCCTGAGGGACTCCTTTTTCTCTCCTCAAGTTGCAGTTATGCCATTGACTTCATTGTTCAACCAGAGCTGAGAGAGTCAAAGGAGTTTCACAAAGTGGAGAGAAAGAATGCAAAAAAAAAAAAAGAGAAGTCATTACTTATCCATGTTCATGGAATGACAAATTAAAATTCAGGAGGGCAACTCTGAACAATCACCTGAAGAACAAAAGTTTTCTAAAGTGGCCTTGGCTTGATCCATCCCCTTTACAGTTAACTCGATGACTAATCTGTAAAAACAAGGTCCTGTCATAAAATTATGGTAATTCTTTGTTGATATTTCATACCTATTCTCTCCTTTCCAGTCCTAGATTATTGCCTTAAAGCAAGCATACATTTCTCATTTGAATTTTGCCAATAGTATCCTTTAGTCTCCTTCCCCTTGCAATGCTCTAGTCACTTATAGTCTCAGTTTTCAAATAAGGAAAGCTATTTTCATGCATATTTCTTAAATTGTCTCTAGTTTCTAGAGCCGTATACATATATGACTATGCAATATGTCCAATCACTACAAGTAAGGAAAACATATGCAGAGTTTAGTTTAATAATCACAGTAATTCTTCCTGCTTCATTTGATTGTTAGGGTACAATATGGAGGTGGGCATAATACCTTTGGGGTTTGGGTGGAGAACAGCCCTCTTTACCTCTCCTTGCTCCCCTTCTATGTTCTTTTTCCTGAGAGGGGGAAGAAAGAGAAGCGGTTTTCTCTGGTCTCAGAGCAATAGCTTTCAGTCACCTCCTCTTTCCAGACCCTGTAAAGCTGTCTCCCAAATCTGTCCAAACTATTTTTCGATCCCATTAGGAGCTTCATGTTCTAGTCCTCTCGAATTCCAACACAGAAACCAAAGAGCTGGTGTATTTGACACTGTGTAACCATACCTACAACCAGTTTACTGGGGAAATGTTCACTGTGGTACTTTACACATCACTTAGAACTTTGTGTGCAAGAAATATACTTAGAAATTATTTCCACAACTGACTGAGTACAACTAACTATAAATACAAAGCACTTTTTAAGTGTTTGTGTCAAAGTTTAGTGATCAACCCTATGGACAAAGGTGGCCATCACACAGCCTTGTTGGGAAATGAGAATCTCAGATCTCCTGGGAAGTAAATTTACATTTGCTAAATTTCTTTGAAAATATTTTTCAACCATGCATCTACCTTTCATAACTATTTCAATCATGAATAAAATGTAACTCACTTTCTGGATTGACTCTGTCCATATTTTAGATTGTGAAAATCAAACCTAGCCTAATATAGGAACAATGGGAGCCACAGACACCTGACTCACGGAGGCAATGTTTTCTTCTCTCTACTCCTCCAGTGTCAATTTAATTCTCTCATAAAAGAAACAGAATGGTTTTCAGAAGCCTATCTGTAAATTCTAATCTTATCACGATAAGTAAGAAATCTAAGTGCTGTTATTTTAGAGTATTTTCCATCAACAACCAACCCAGTTGGTAACTCAACTTGGGTCATAAAACAATTCACATAGATACTGGGATTAGTAGATCTTTGAAGACAGTGTCAATCAAGATATGGTCACTTTGTACCTACCCTGCTGCTCCTAAATTCTGCTGCAGGTTGGCTCCTTCTTGTTGTCTAGCAATTCTAGATCACTAATTAACAAATACTTGGGCATGTGAACATTGCTTGTCCAATGAGTATATAATGAAATTTAAACTCGCTCCATTACTCCATGTGACCAGCCAGTAATAAGCGCCCTTCAGAATTAACCTGCTGTGGTTGGGTTAATAGGTTTATTATTTTTTTATTTCATTCTTGTTTGATCTTCACTACATGTAAGATTTGGGCTATTTTTATGATTGTGTGTCCAAGGACTGGAAGCCTTGCAAGGAAGATGTCCTAGGGAAGACTGAAAAAAGAAATAAAGAGAAAAATTTGTTTTAGAAAACACTGTAAAATCCACCTACCAAAAGACTTTAGAACTAGTCCTACTCTCTCATTAGCTATATATGTGATATAAACAAGTAGACACCCTAGGCATGTTTACCCTCTTATTTAATGATGAGATTGAACTAGTTATATTCTTTAGGTTTTTCTCCATTAACTAATCAATATGTTAATTAATTAATTGTCCCTCCAGACCCCAACCTGGTTCCTGTTTCATAACACTGCACGTGTGTGCTGTTTTCCTAGGCTGGGTGCTCATCCCAGGTGTTCACACAGCTGGTTCTTTTCTCCAACAAGATTCGCTCTGATGGCAGCACCTCCCAGAGGCCTTCCCAACAGCCCAGCCCTTGCAGAGAGTCCACCTGCCTCCTCCCTGCTCATTTGGGACAACACATGTCACCATCCAAACTCAGAATGGATCACATTACAGACCTCGAAGATTTGTGTCTGTCTCTCCCTTTCTTCTTTATATCCATATTCCCCCAACCAGAGAAGCACCTGGCTCTCACTGGGGCTCAGTAATTGTTGGTTGAATGAATGTCCAAAGAAGAAAGGTATCACTTCTGTATCAAATAGATTGTTTACCTATGTTGTGACTAGCTATCTAACTGTCATAACCAGGGGTGTGTTTTTTTAAGTATTAGCTTTATGTTTTGGACCTTTTATTACAAAATAGTATTGAACTTAGAGAAAATTTCTAAGTATAGTACAAAGAACATTTGTCTACCCTTTATCCAAATTCATCATAAGTCATTTACTATAAACTAATACCGTGTTGTCCTGCAAAGCTTAATATGCCTGAAAGGGGTGAGTAATTCCCTCAGTTGTGCCAAAAATTCAGTTTGTTGATTTCACTTGTTTTTCTGAGACTCTACTTACCCAAACTGAAAGGAATAGTGAGAGAGAAATCTGAATAGTTAATCAAGGAAACCGTACTGGTTTCCCTTTTCTTCAGCAGCAAAGTTTTGCCCTGTCTCAGACAGACCATCTTGGGGCAGTTTCTTCAACTCTGTGTTGTCCATTTTGGCATTTGAGAGCAGTTTACTGCTTCTTATTCTTTGGCACATTTGTTTCTTCATCATCTCAGCATGTCTTCTCCCCCATCTTCTTTCTTTTCTTTTAGCAGAGAGTTTGCCAGAAGGTACAGACAGACTGAGGATAACAAGAAAGCAGTGGACACAATTAATTAATTCTTAAACCCTTTGGGCTAAATTGAAAAGTACCCGCAGTGACCTGTGAAGATGGCATGATGAAATGAAGAGCTGACAGCCAAGCTGAAAGCAGCCTGTTCTGCGCTGACTGCTCCGGAAGGTATAGAGATGGAGTCTGGAGGTCATGGCCATCAGTAGCTCTCTTCTCTGAACCTAACAGATAGTGTGCCATCATTGCACATCATCATTGTTTGTTACACTATTGACACAGAGATGAGCTGCATCATCACCTACCCTGTGCAGAAATTGCTGTGTCCTCCCTCCTGCAGAAGTAAATATTTACCAGCTCTGCCTACATCCAGGTGCATCAGCTTTAAGGAGGCAAATGGTGACATATGGCCAAGTCAGCTTGGGGTCAGACACCAAGGGGCACAGGCGTTGGGCTTCTCCTTCCTGTACTTTTTGGGATTCCAATTCATTTAAATCAGCATTTAAATACTCTTGTCTTTTGAATTCCCAGTAATCAGTCTTGAAACTAATCTTGGTCTCAGGTCTAAGTATGTAGACTTTGTGTATTTCCTCACTGTCAACATCAAGGCTTAGGAATTAAAAAGATGGGGAAAAAGAGGAAGAAATTAGATGAAAACGTAAAAAATAAGGGAGGAAAGGTCCCTGCAGTGGGTGGCTGCCTGAGTGATAGGTATACTTTCTTTGCTAACATTCCCAAATCATGGAGCTGTGGCTTGCTTTCCCAATCCAAACTAAAATATGGGTATGGTGGAACCCCATGGAGAGAATCAAGTGTCCAACAAAGTGAATTATTAGACTGGGTTTAGAAGCATAAACATACCTTTGAATAAGGATAGAGGACCCAGATAAAGCCCAGAGCTACAAAAGATGTGAGATCAGCAGTTAGGAATAAATAAAACCTTTATTGAACCATGCATTACAGATGCCCTTGATTTTTAATCCTCAGAGTCACCGTGAAAGGATGGTATTTTGATCCCCATTGGAAAAGAGAGGCTATCTGAGTCAGAAAAGGTCAGTGACCCACCTAAGTTCACACAAGAAGTAAAGGACAATGCTAGGTATCCATTATTGCTCTGACTTCAAATCCTACCCTCATTTCTCCACAGAATCTTTACTGCCGCTTATCTAGAAAACAACAAACATGGCTGGAGACAAATTTAAAAGCAAAAACAGCCAGAGGCAAGCAAACGTCAGGGAGAGGCAACCCCAGCTGGCAGGTGGCTAGGGAGAAGGGACCTGAGGCTGAGGCAAGGAGAAAGGCTGGATAAGGCTGGCAGCCCTGCTCCCATGCAGACAGCCCCATCCTGTGAGCAGATGGTGGCACACGTTTCCTCAGATTTCACAGCCATTGTTTTCTGCCTTTATTATATGGTCTCACTGTCTATCATGGACGGAAATGAAGTTGGCCTGGAATGGTTTCCTCTTCCCACAGTCTTCTTGATTCTATATTGACAGATGACTTTAAAATATAATATCCTTATAGATATGAAAATGAAGCCGATCTATTTATTTAAAGGCCAGAACTGTTTTTTTACCTGTTTTAACATGAAAGACAACCATTTGCCATTTTTAGTCCTCTAAGATTTCCTTATCATGCCGTAGTCTAAAATATAACTTAATTTTCCTGGGTCATCTGATGTTGTCAATTGGAGACATGTGGTGTCGACACTTGGCTTTGTTGGAGCTTTGCCACCGTTTTCCCCAGTCCCAGGCCTCAGCCAAGTGATCACAGGTTTACAAAGGTGGGTAAAGAGGAGCAAGACCCTGCTTTCCTGGGCAGGGGCTTGCTTTACCCCATGGCCATTGTACCTAGTCTTCCTCACAGGTTTTCTTTAATCTACAGATCTTTTCTCTTTCACTTTCTTTGTCTCCTAGAAGGCCCATGTGTGTGTGAGTGTGTGTGCGTGTGTGTGTGCTTTGGTTTGTTGGTTATGATGTGCAAACCACATGCTTTTTTTGTTTTCGTTATCTTCGACCTGATGGGTCTCTCACACCCTGGACAGAGAAGGTATATTTTTTCATTTTACAGTGTATTTCTGTCAGTATAATTAGTCATTTCTGTGGCCCTAGAAATGTCTGTTTAAATGTCGGGTTCTTTCAGCTTTCATGTAAAGTGTATTCTAATTTGCTTCTGAGATATTGATGGTGATAATACTTATTTTCTGTAACACCACAAATACTATTATCTGGATGATTGGTATTTTTACTAATGTTTGTAAAGAAATTTTTAGAAGAACTTTCTTGTGCTAGCGTACATTATCTCATTTAATCTTATATAACCCATGAGGTAAATACTAGAATCATCCTCCAATTTATAAATGAGGAAACTGGCTGTGAGATATGCCAAATAATTTGCTGTCAGCTCAGAGCCAATAGCGATGGGATCTGCTAGGCACAGGGGGAGCTGTACCTGTCTTGCTGTGAGGCCATCACCCTGAGTGTTCTACAGGGCTGGGTAGAACCTTTGAGCATTAACTGGACGTGTTGGCAGGGGTAGGGGGCAAACTGTAAAAGTCTCCTGGTTAGTGCCATGTGCTCATTTTCACCTTGAGAACCACTGACCTCAAAGATAAATTCCACCACTTTTCATTTGCTTCCATCAAATATATTATATAATACATATATATTTGTGTCCATCAAAATGTATTACAATTTAATATAATATGTTTAATTATATTAAATATAATTACTCTCCACTTATAAAAATTAAATCTAGGAGCAACCTACCTGAAATGACCATTTCATCTTCTGTACTAAGAAATTATTCAAAAAAATTATTGGCCTGGAAGATCATATTTGCTTTCTAAAGGACCATTCTTTCCTACTCTGAAGCACCTTTTCACTAGAAGAATTTGGCAAACTGTGTCATATTTGGAACTTTTTAATTGAAACAGAAGTTCTACACTGTTTATCATCTGCTGAGGGTTTTAAGGGGAAAGTGTCAACATAAATTTGGAATTTCCTGACTTCTGCAGATTTGAGTTACAATCTTGACATGACTGGAAAGGAAATCTTAAAAAAAATTTAGAGTGTTTTATTGTGGAAATGTCCCCAAATATTTTCATCCCATTTTCCCAGAGAAACCTGACAGCTTGGGGAGGGGAGAGGGTGGAGAAGAACAAAACGCAACAGCCACATCCTTGAACTCTTTTGTGTGTTTAGAACAATGTCCAGTTAAAATCAAACAATATTGCTGCTAAATCCGTCTAAAATAGTCCTTGGTAAGGGCTGTTGCCTGATGGAACAACCCTGTGGGAAGGGCGGTAGGTAGAAGTGATGAGAGCTAGGGCTTCTCTAAAAAGCAAGGGTTCAATGCTAATGGTGAAGACTGCTAGGCATGACAAGATACAGTATCTTTCCAATAACCCTGTCATCAGCTCATTTACTATCTGGGACTTTAAATCCCTATCCAGCACAGAATGAATACCACCACTGCACCCAAGTGGAAAACAAAAGCCCGGGCAAGGGCTGGGGGTGGGTAAGACTCATAACGGAGAAGTCATGAAGTCTGGCTTTCTGGCCAGATTTCCTCTGGAAGATGAGGTGCGGCCGGCACTGTATGTGTGGACCGCCTGGGAGGGGACACACACCCTGCCTTCAGACGGCAGGACCTCAGCCTGGCCTGCAGCCAAGGAGCCAGACGCCAGGCCCCGGGCTCTCAGCGGTGGGAGCGGTCGCTGCGCCTGGTTATACAATGGTATTATCTCAAGCCAACCACGGCTGCAGAACCTCGCAATGTTTCCTGTCCTTGCATTGCAGCACAAACTGTCCGATTTCCAACTGCTTTCGGACACACTCACTGGCACTCGGTCGCCAAGCTGGGAATATAAATGTCTAAAGCCACTTCTTCCTTGGGAATTGCAGACACTGCAATGCCGTAATCCATTGTATTTTTATCCCCTCTGGAAGGACCTGCAAGACCATGAGTCACTTGAGGAAAAGGATTAACTCTCAAAACAGCTTATGTAATGTAGGCAAATGCTTGGAGTGTCTTCTACTAGGGGAACACAGAAACGTCTTTGAAGTAATCTGCCCACCACACAGTTTATTCCTGTTGGCCCATCATTTTATTCTCGTTTCCACTTTTGAATCCTAGCAGTCTGTACCCAAAAAAAGCAAGGAGACTGGCGGGAGAGGAAAATTTGGGTAAATGTGAAGGAGGGAGCTTGTTTTTAATATACAGAAATTATTTTCAATATACTTTGACAGCATTTGGTAAACTGTTTCAGTACTCTCAATTACAGCATTTGCAGTACACTTTAGAAATTTTAAAAGCCATTAAAGCTTACCTAGTCTAGCAATGTGTTGAAAAAGGCCAGAAAGAGTAGGTTCTTCATTTTCTTTTTTAATTGTTTGGTGTTCTTGGTTTTGGAATATTGCGATTAGGTAATTAAATATCTGATCCAGTCTTTCCCACCATGTGCCTATGCTGGAAACTTAACTTTTAGCAACCTGCTCTGAGAAATGAAAGGTTTACTCTAACTAACAGTTACCAGAAATGCTCTTAAACATTCTGCTTCCAGGTCAGGAAATTTCTGACCAGCCTTGAACTTTGCTACAAGCTGTGGTACTTAAAGTGTGTTGGACCAGGCTGGCTGGAGGTAGGGAGGGGAGGGGTGCAAATCCTCTGATTTGTGCTCAAACTGACAATTCCTGCAATTGTAGTGCAAATCTTTCAGTAGAACTGGATGTCAGCTGCTCCAAATAATGGGGCTCTTGGTTTACCTTTAATGTGCCTAGAGAGATCTTCTCCCTCATCCATATGTATGAAGACTCCTCTTGTCCTTGCTTTTGTGGCAATAGGCAGGCTTTTTTAGCCTAAATTAAGTGGCATGTTGACCAATGTTTAACAACCAGCAAGAAATGGCCCCAGGGGAAGGCATTTGTCATGACCTTTAATGAGACAGACATAGAAATGTAGAATATTTTAAACTCTGAAGTAGTATTTCAGGCAAACAGAGAATATAAGGA